TGGTAGAAAAATAAATAGATTATAGATTCAATAGAGTTGTGATATTAGAACGTGAATTATAAATAAATATTCGATGTATAAAACAAACGCCAAGCAGTATCTCTTTCCTAACTTGAATATTTAGTTTGACAGAAAATGTGAAGCCAAATGACACTAGACAGAAGAATAATTATAAGGAACTAAAAAGAACCTGCTTATCAGATTAGATTCAGTGGCGAAGATGAGATAAAATACTTGATACTATAATTAGAAGATCAGTTTGTGTGGTGTACGTGTGCGCGTGTGTGTATATGCCTGTTAGGGAAGCGTTTATAATGACTGAAAATGTGTGTTAGTGCGCGTGTGTGTTTGCATGTGATGAGGAAGTATGAGTGTGACTGTGAGTGTATGTACTTATCTATGTGTGTGTGTGTGTGTGTGTGTGTGTGTGTGTGTAAAGCTGAAAAATGGAATGGATGGCCTTGAAAATGTGTAAGTGGGTGCGTGTTGAACTCTATTTTAAAAATATAAAACAATACATCACCTCAAAACGAACAGTAACATCAAATTAAAAAAGATTTTGGGTCAGTTACCTTGATATTTGCTTGGAGTGTTCAGGCAGAATATGTGCATGTACTGCTACTCTCTTTGACATGAAATAATCAATGCTTATTTGAGTTGAGACTCCAACAAGTGAATGTTCTTCATTTTACTGCTTATATAAAAAGCGTCCCGTTTTGTAGCTTCTTTTCATACTCATCATACACTCCAGACTGGATTGATTGAAAAATTTCATAGATTATTGTCACCTGTTTTGCTCCATTTCAATGCTGGCTTCATCTCAGTGATTCAATGCAAGCAGAATTATAAAGTCATTGCTCTTTTGGTGCAGAAGTGTATTCACCAAACATTCTTCCTAATAAATAAGTAGGAGCTTATGTATAGACCACCGGTTATTTGGCATATTAACTCAACTGCAGCTGTTTTTTATGTACTTACAGATAAAAGGCAAATTTGTTACAGCATTATTTATAAACAACTGCACTGTCGGTTCCATCATCATAATAAAATAAATCTAAAGAAAACAGAGTTCTTTAATAATAAACAGACACACGAGTTTTTCATGCATTAAATTATATTCTACCGGAAACATGATTGTAAAGTCAAACATTCTAGTGGTGCTTCCCTTGAAGATGTAGTTTTCGTAAATGTAGGTAAGTTAGTAACGAAATGATCGTGATTAAAACGTTAAAATTCATATATTTATTAATCAGACTTTCGTATAGAAACTTGTAATTGCAATAAAGATGAAGATTTTATGTTAGGCTGTCAAAATACGTGGTTGCATCAACACATTTATAAGTTGCTGTGGTTGGTGACTCAACCACGCCTCAATAAACAAACTTATACACAAAAAGTTCGATAGAAAGCCTATTAAACCAAAATGAAAACTGAAAATCACTCAAAAATAAAAATGACAATGAAACATGATAAAAAAAAAGCAAAAAATTTTGGCAGCTAGCCACGTTGAATTTGATAATGCAAAAATGTTGTTGTTTGATTAATTCAAAGAATAGTAAAGATTATTTACGTTCAAATATTGAAAAAGATTCCTAAGAAAGTATAATTTTTGAGCTGTTTAAATTATAATCAAATAAAATTATGGATTATATAAAGTATTAACAAGGATGCACATATCAAACGTACCCACAAAATTAATGATTTGTACAATTTTAGTTAATTGCCATTAGCAGGCAAATACAAAAAGTTTGTTCATCAGCAAACAGGACAGAACCATGTGCTGTTTGAATGTGAATTGATGGTTACTAAGCATTTGTTTGTGATCTTGTTTGCACGTGTTGTATAAAATCAATGATGAGGTGGTCCTTCGTTTCAACGTATTTATATATCATACAAATGAGTATATCCAACTACAGCAAGTATACGCGTATGTCATACAAGGAAATGTTTAAAAGGCATATGCATATGTCCTGCATAAAAATATGAACTTATATAAATAAATAAATATATATATATATATATCCTATTATAAATATTATATATATTTATATATATATACATATATAAAAACATATAAGTATAGTATGTAGTCAAACTCTGCCTCAACTGATTCCATAGGAAGTAACAAAATTAATGACCTTCAACACTTTGCATGAGTTAGTTTTCAAACAGATGAAACTCATTTAAATAGAGCCCTTTGATGATTACAATCCTAAAATATAAAATTCATTTGATATACAAGCAACTATTGACAACATTTTACAAAACCATCAAATATCATGAGATCATAAGTTAATGAAGACAACCATATACTCTCAGAAAAAAAAGTTCACTTCACAGCTCTGCAGAATTAGAAAGTTTGGAATGGTGTAGATAAAAAATGGAACATTAGAATAAGGAATGTAAATAAAAAATATAATTAATTTTAAAAAAGTTTCAAATAACTAAAAAATAATGAACTTCTCATTTTATTTCAAATTAATTCGTTTTCATTTTTATGCGCTGGCAAAATATTCAATAAAGTAAAAAAAAATAAAGCCACACACAAAAAACTTTTGCAAAATTATTGCTATTTTAAAAAACTATCCAAACACAGAATCAATGTACAGGCAATAACTTATTGACAAGAGGTACCTAAGTACAGGAAATTTTTTCCATAAAAGCAGTAATGCTTTCCAGAACTAAATGAATGTCCCTGACAATTCAGGTGGTATTGATTTATGTCAGAGTGAATTATCTGACAATTTTCATGTTTCGTACATATTTGCCTAAAATTATTTACATCATCAATTCTGTCAAACATGGCTGCAAATGTCATTAATGTTGTAAGCTTAACTTGTATTTGAAAAATCTTTGTTAATTAATTTGCTTCATTTTTATGTACAATTTACTTTTTACAAACTTATAAATAATGTACCAAAAATTTACAAATCATGTTGACAGGCAAGCTGTTAAAAAATGTCTTGAAGTTTGTTGCAAAAAGTAAGAAAATCAAATGTCAGCCTAGCATATTTTATAAATCTGCATCATTGTTTGTTGGCAGCATTGTCTGTTGGTGCAAGACTTGCATGTCATCTTGTGCAAACAAAAACATGACAACTCATTCATTTCTTCCAACAAGTGGCATTTGCAAGTATTATGTTACCATTATATAATTATAACAACAGTATATTTTTTACAATCATCTTAACATTATTTATTTCATTTATTTGGTGAGAGTCATTTCAAAATCTTTCAATTGTTCAATTAATGTTTGATTCACAGTTTAAAAAATAAAACTTGAAATATTTTGTAGTTTTACAAAAGTATACAATTTCAATTTGAAAATGCATGCTTTTCAGGGAAAAATGTCAAAGATTGAAAATTTAAAACAAGAATAAAATAGGCTGATGCTTAACATGACTTGTAAAACTGAAAATATTCCATGATGAAGCACTTTCATGATAATGAACATTTTTTAATTTTAAAAAATCATTCCTTACAACTTTAAATAGAATGATTTCAATTTACAGTAAATACATTTTTTAATAAAAGTTTTATTGTGAATATTTTCTCTTAGATTGAGCTCATTATCAACATTCCAAGCAATTCAAATGTAGAAGAATGGAAGAAGAAAAATGATAAAAATAGAAATAGCAGAATGCTGTCTAATTAACGATTTATGTGAATAAAGATTTTCTTGCCAAAAAGCCAACCCATGAACATTTCATTTGCAAGCATGCATGGCTGAATAACAATAGGCAGATGAGATTGTATACTGACTATGTATGTAAACGTGTGGATATATATTCATGTGCCTTCACGAAAATAAACACAATTTGGGCATCTAAACATTTCAAGTATGTGAATTAGAACAATGAACTTATTGAAGAAAGATGAACATTATGCAACATTTCATTAGCATACATGTACAGCACATTCCACATGTCACATTCACACACCTGTATGTGTACCAAACATACATGCACAACACATTAACACACATACATGCAAATGTGTCATTATTTTAGGCAGATGTTAATGCATTCTCATTTTCAGCTTAAAACATCCCACTGGTAATTATCAGATTTTCTATTATTCCAATGAGTACAATTCTTGAAAGACAGATTAAATAAAGTAGCAAGCATTTCATAATAGGTTGTGGGAATGCTGTTTGCATACCACTGTGATAATGCTGCCTGGTTGGAGACCCACATGGCCACACAAAGCATCATGCAATTAATGGAGTGACAAGTGCAGTGAGGGGTGCTGGCAACTTGCAAACAATCATTGATTTGTACCTATTTGTACTAAGCAGGCTCTTTGTGAAAATACAACAAAATGAAATAAAATTGCACAGGTAAAATAATGTAATGAATAATGCAGATGAGTGCAAAGCAAAGATATAATTTAAAACTCAATCAATAACTATGAAATATATATCATACATCAACAAACCCTGTAGATTTTTATTAAAATGAAAACCGCATGCTGAACGTTTTCCTGCCATTTCACAAAACGACTTTACTAACTACATCTCAAATGAATTCAACTGTTTACTTACTAATTCCAATAGTCATAGTTCATTAATAACTTAATAAAATTTGTAAGAGCTTAACATGAAATATTTATAAAAAGATTAAATGATTACACATTCCAAACATCTGTCATCAACTGTGTTAGCAAAATACAGAAGTATCTCCGAATGTTTGTTAGAATGTTTCCATAGCCATTGAGTCAAGTAATTTCAATTATTTATATAACATAAATTTAAGACATAGAGAAGCAAATTTATAAATAAAACAGATAAAAATTGATAGAGCAAAAACATCTAATAATATAAATCCCAGTTTTGTTAAGCAACTATTAATCATAGAATATTTTTTATACTTTTTAATGCATGATGAATTATTAAGACAGTTTTTTATTTGTAAACTGATAAGGAGACATAACAAAATAAAATAAAATTGTGGTTATCATATGGATAAAGTGGATATCCTAACATAGCCAAACAGGGAACCCTACCCTGTGATTCCAATTGAGATTAGGTTACTGTAGATTAAAATTTGAAGCTGGTTGAATTAGTAATATGGAATAAATACGGAAGCCTTTGTTGCGAGGCCAGTAAAAAATTTTAATACTCAATGTTCATGCACCAGTGTAAAAAGCTTGTGACATTTTTATAGTGTCAATAATGTGATGCACTCCATGGAAACGTGGACAACACAGTAATTATTTGCCATCAATGTCTATAGATTTCTTTCATTAAATACCATTTAGCAAAAAAATAAAAAGTTTAGCCCTTTTTTTTGGATTAAAAAAAGTTTGTGTCAACCGTTTTTCAGCTGCATTTTATTGTCTACACTGAGATTTCGTGAATAGAAATTATAACAGGCATTGTATTATAAAATGGTAGCTAATAAATCTCGGTCATCTTTCTTATTGTATCATCAAACCACAAGGTTTCATCATTCTGACAGTCAAACTCATCATCATCCAATACATTACAACAGTGACTACATACAATATAGGTGTACTAATAACATAACTACAAGATCATTACAGGTAAAACATTGCGTGTGTGTGTGTGTGCGTGTGTGTGTGTGTGGGGGGGGGGGCGTGAGATGAGTATTATTGATGAGTATGGCCATAAAATTTGATCAAGTAAATCTTTCTACTGGCATCTTCATTTAATTAAATTTAGTTTGTTCAACTGTTTTGTGGCACTCCTACCCACCCCACCAAGCCAGTCTCATTGAGGACAGGATGTTCACACCTAATATATTTCCCCATGTTGTTTCATTGTCCCCATATAACTCAGCTAACAACATGCATTGGAGAACATAAAATTTAATGAGAAAAGAGTTAAAACCACAATAAGATACTAAATAAAAACAATCAAGTCTATAAAAATAGACAGATTTTCATAAAAATAATCATTTATCAGTTATCTCAATTGATTTATCTCAATTAATCATTTAATTGAAAAAATAATAAAATTCAAAATTGATGACTACCTATAAGAAGACTTAAAAAAAATGTTTACTAGATTATATTTTTAGATGTGATGGTTTTAAAAGGTTTATCGCCACTTAATATATATATATTATAAGGCATTATGATTATAGAGACAAACATATTTAATGAAACTGTAAAAAAAAAACAGACATATATACCTCTTTCAGTGTGATAACTTCTTTAATGAATTCAACAGAATCATCATTGAACATGTCACTGGGAACTGTTGATTCTCTCCTTGGAAACTTTGCAACTTCATTTGTTGAGGTTGTCATCGCTGCAGATGCGGGCTTTGCAGGATTTTCAGCAGCAATTGAAACTTTAAATCGACTTCCTGGAATTTCTCTGTAAAAACTTTTTGGTAATGTATTGTTATTTTCGGCACTCTGTAGTGTTGTTGTGGTAGTTGTTGTAGTCATTTGTGGTTGAGGTTGTTGCTGGTTACGATCCATAAGAACGTTGCTGGAAGCAGATTTGGGAAGTTTGCTAGGTGATACTGATTTTGGTGTTATTTCCAGGAGAGGTTTACTTTCTGATGCATATTCAATATCTTCATTTTGTTGGGTTGCTGTTGGCAACCCCTGCAGTACTTTTATGTTATTTTCCTGCTGCTGTAGCTGCAATTGTTGTTGTTGTTGTTGAGCACATGCAATATCTGTAACACTAGGCACCTCACGAAACTTTTGTTTGGAATCAACTCTTGGTAGTCCATAGTCTCCTACACTGTTAAAGGCAGGTTCAATCTCAAATATTTTCTTGTTTTTTTCTTGGCTGTCATCCTCAGTCGGATCACTAACATCTTCGATTGGTATATATACCACAAAAAGAACAGCCATGGACTCTTTAGTTTGTTAATTTAATAACAAAAAACAATTAGAAAATGTTAATCAAAAACCAAAACGCAAAACAATTAGTATTAGAGCCCAATTCTCAATATGAGTTACCAAATTTATTTTAATTTATTTATTTTATAATATTTTGTATCGAAGCTGCATTTATAAAAGAATCTTTATAAAAAATAAATTAAATTCCGAAAATAATAAAAGATGAATAAATAAAAATGAAAGGGCGTCTTCTTTTTTTATTTTTATGATTTAATTTATTTTATTTTAAGTTTTCCTTTCAGGTCTCCACATCCGCCCATCCAGGATATCAAAAAATCTGTCTATTTTTTAAAATAATCAAGTTAAGGTGTAAAAAAAAATCAATAACTTTTGAAAATTATTTGTACCAAACAAGGTAAATCAACTTTCATCCAACTATTTATTAACGATAAAAAATAAATTAAACAAAAAACGTGGGAGAAGCTCGTTTGTCGTTTTTAAACTTCCTCTACTTACAGCAGAACCTTGTGTACAAACGTTCAAAAATTTAAACTAAAAGTTAATCTAGCTGCACACTCAACCAACGAATATTATGAATGAACATTGTCATGTGCGCAACTTATTTGTATATATCGTGTAAATGTATATATATATATATATATAGATATGTGTGTGTGTGTATCTAATATATATAATATAAATATAGTAATTTATGAATAAGGTATATAGTATGATATATATATTTTGCTTCGCTAATTATATATTAAATATAAATATATATTTATATATGCCATATATAGGTATAGGAACATTGTTAAGCGCGCAACTTATTTGTATATATCATGTATATGTATATATCACATATATATATATATATATATGTGTGTGTGTGTGTGTGTGTGTGTGTGTGTGTGTGTGTGTGTGTGTGTGTGTGTGTGTGTGTGTGTGTGTGTGTGTGTGTGTGTTTTGGAACGAGGTTTTCATTAAAAACAAATTTGATTAAATGATTTTGTCTATTTAGCGTTTATTAATTTCTTGAAAAGACATTCAACAACATAACTGTTGCAATTCGTATTTATTAAAACTTCCAATCATAGTCTAGCGTAAACATCATTCTTCCTTATTGCCTATTGTCTCTGGAGTGCCTCAGGGTTCTGTACTTGGCCCTGTTTTTTTTATATATTTATCAATGATCTATGCAGATTGACTAAAGCTGTTAAATATATATTATGTGTGCGGATGACCCAACCATTTTGGTGGCTGCTGTTGTTGGTGTTGTGTTGAACAAAAAACTAACGAAACAATACAATACAAATAAACTAGAACGTAAGAAAAATGAAAGAATAGAGTCCCTAACCTATGTTCACTAAATTAACTCACCTAGACCTACCTAGGTTCAATTAGCTCAACTTACGAATTAATCCTACCTATTTGTACGATTACGAAGAAAAAATTAAGGAAAAGGGGATAAAGCATCAAGCAAACAAAACAGTGAATGTATGTATGTGTATCACATCACACCACATCATACTCTATGGTATCTTATGATATCATATAATATCATATGGTATCATATCACGTCACTTCATATCTCTGACACGCCTCAAGCATTAATGATGTTGACGCCAGACAAGAAAATTTTGTGGATTCTTATTAGTCTTTCATCCATCCATCTATCCATCCATCCGTCCGTCAATCCATCTATCGTCCATCCATCCATCCATCCATCTATCCATTTATTTATTTATTCCTTCATTCCTTCATTCATTCGTTCGTTCGTTCGTTCGTTCGTTCGTTCATTTATTCATTCATTCATTCATTTGAAAAATTAAACAATACTCTGGACTGCTGACGACATCCTACTTGTATATATTTTCAGTTATTCCTTCAAACTATAATTTCAATGTTGAATGTATGCCTTCCAACCGGATGCAACTTATTTTTGTTGACAACTTTTTAACTAGATAAACCTGTACACACGTTTCCAAACCATCCCAACAGGAAATACGTAGGCGTTCGTTGAATTCATTGTATCGTTTTCAACAATTATGTTTATAAGAAGTATTGCTGACGACATTCTAGACATTCTATTTGTATAAATTTTCAGTTACTCATTTTGACTATAATTTCAATGTTGAATGTATGCGTTACAACCGGATACAACTAATTTTTTGTTGACAACTTTTTAAATTATCAACGTAACAAACATTTTTTCTGAGTCCAATAAAATTATAATCCCTCTAAACAGAGACAAAAAAATTATTAAAATAGAATTGACATTTTGTTGCGAAATCGTTGGCGGAAATGACGTCATTGTAAGAAAATGTTGAAATGTACGATACTGAATTAGCCGGCATAAACGTTATATTACCATCATGTGGACACAAAACTAAATGAATAATTAGTTATGAAATATATTTATATTTTTATATTTATACATTTAAATTATACAACTAAAGTTAAGTAAGTTGTGTGGTGTCAAAATATTTTGAATTTAAACCGCGCGCGTACATATGTAACACTGATTTTTGTTGGTTTTACTATGAAGTTATATAATAAATATATATACAAAGTATCTAGAATTCGTTAGTCGATGTCAATTTAGTATGAGTAGCTCTGTCGTCGAGAATGTTCATAAGTTTATGACACAATAAAAAATCAATCACATTAAACAAATAAACTTTGTACTGATATGGATGATTGAATTGATTGTAAGTATAATATATAAAAGAAATGAAATAAAAAAATACATATTTTAATTTTTTCAATTGTTTTATCACTAAACAACGTAATCGAGATCACTTCATTTCCACTAAACTTTAGTGAAAAAGGAGTGATCTCTATTACGTTGGTATTCAACTAGATAAACATGTGCACGAAAGTCGGTAGGCGTCTGTTGAATTCATTTTAGTATAGTTAATATATTGTTGTTAAGCACCTATAATAATAATTCATATACATTAAATAGAGTTTTTATTGATGTCAATGATTGAAATGATAAGAATATATAAATGGAACTGATATAAATAGGAGCCGAGAACACGTTGAAATCAGATCAGGCGCTTAGTACCATTGTATGAACGCCTGGTCTCAATTTTTATTTTTTTATTTCTTTATTTTATATTTTCTATATTTTTTCTGATATTTATTTTTACTATATAGAGTTATATAGAGCTATATAGAGCTATATAGAGCTATATAGAGTTTGTATGTTGTCCGTGGTTTGTATGTTGTATTTTTTTAATTTTAGGTGGATTCTTTAGCGGTTGCTCATACATACATGCATCATGTTTGTTTGTGTGTTAGTATTTTTGTTCTGTTTTTTTCCCTTTTTCTCTTCATGGGTTTTAGTTAAGTTAATAAAACATAGGTAGGTGAGGTTAATTTAATGTATAGGTAGGCTAGGACATAAGGTAATTTAATTACATAAGTAAGTTAGGTACTTCTATTCTTTTACTACTTGGTGGTGTATTTTTCGTTTTGTGTTTTTTTGTTTTGTTTCACACCATACATTCAGCAGGTACGCGGTGGTTACTGGTTTCAGTGGGTTTATTATTGATTGTTGTATACATTTTTATTCATACAGGTCTTACTCTCTACGTCCTAATCTTTCTTTCTATTTTACCATTTTTATTTTTATTTATTTGAGATGCTTCATTTAGCACAAATGCTCAAACACACACATTACATTAGGTAGCTATATAGGTAAGTTAAATAGGGATAATTTTAATTGTAGGTAGGATAGATGGAAAACATCCAACACTAATGTAGTTGAGTAGGTAGGCGAGTAAGTTTATCGCTTCTATTTTTTTGCACTCGCATTACACGCTTCAGCGTATTACACACACATACACACAAACACATACAAAAACACATATATTAGTATTTGAGCGTAATTTTATTTTCCCAAGACATCACTTAAATCTATTTTTACTAAGGTTGAGAGTAATTTAATGTCATAGGTAGTTAAGGACAATAATGTAATGATAGGAACAATCTTTTAATGTAAATTAAACTTTGTAAGTGTATCGATAGGTAGGTTAATTTTTAAGTTTTACATTATTATTATTAGGTTGGATCCCAAGGCATTATGTAGGTGGTGGGGTGGGTGCCGAATGTCGAACGAATTGGGCTTTTGAGTTGTACAATTTTAAGTAAGCTAGGGCCGTAATGTAATGATTAGATAATTTAAGGCTACGTTATACACACATACTCATTAATAAATTTAGGGTTTAAGTTTTACATTATTATTACTAAGTTGGAGCCCAAGGCATTATGTAGGTGGTGGGGTGGGGCCGATTGGCGAATGAATTTGGCTCTTGAGTTTTGTAATTTTAGGTAAGCTAGGGCTTAAATGTAATGAATAGGTAAGTTGAGGCTTAGACGTTATTAGCTAAGGCATTTGAATAGGTAAATAAGTTTATTTATATAACTAATTTAGACGCGTGCACTTTTTTTATCCTCCTCATGAACGGCTGCCTTGACGTGGCGAGGGGGCTTCTCACTAAATGCCGTTCGTCAGATGCGCTTTTTCAGTTTTTTAATTTTTTTATTTAGCAAGTTCGACAATAATTCAAGCGTACACACATACACAAAACACATACATACATAAGTTAAAAACATACATACATGCGTACGTACATATAAACAAACACACATACATGTATTAGCTGTTATACAAACAACAACAACACACGTTTAGACGGCATTTTCCCCGAGATCGGGGGTTGCCGTTTGGCTACCTATGATGAAACCAAAATACCCCTCGACTCCATCCACATCTGTCACTCGCCTCAGTATCACGCAACCCCGCTTTCACCCTGTCCTTCTCCACCTGCTCTCTCCATCCCAATCGCGGACGACCCCTTCCTACCACTCCTTCAACCTCGAACTCCAACGCTCGCCTAATCCCGACCCTTTCATCCTTTCTCAACACATGTCCATACCACCGCAATCTCGATCTCCTTATCAATGTCACAATGTCCTCATTCAGTCCCATCATTGACATCAGC